CTCCTCTCTCTCTCTCTCTCTCTCTCTCTCTCTCTCTCTCTCTCTCTCTCTCTCTCCAGTCTCTCCTTCTTTCTTTCTGGTGGTACCAGGGATCGAAGCTTTTGCTTTTCAAGGACCCTTTTTCCATTACAAATCCTAGTTCCTACTAACTTGAACTTTCATTTATTTATTTTTATATTTTTGTCTTTTTGAGACAGGGTCTTGCTCTGCAGCTCAGGCTGGCTGTGAGCTCACTTTATAGCCCAGGCTGTACTGAAACTCGCAAGTCTTCCAGCCTTAGCCTCCCAAGTGCTCGGATTACAAGCGTGCACCCTTGCCCAGCTTAACTAGAATTTTTAGTTATCACCTTAATACACTTGTTGGTGATTTGATAGTATAAATGTCCCTAAACTTATACTGTCTTGCATATTTTGAATTATATAAATGCTAGTTTACAGTATCATTTTCTCACCTCTTGTTTGATCTTGTTTAATCTGTTAGTAGATAACAGCACTAGGTTTGTTTTCCTGGCACAGGTGCTTGCTATGTAGTTCAGGCTGGTCTTGAACTCTGTGTAGCCCAGTGAGCTTCCTGGCCCAGCCTCAGTCTACCAAACGCTGGGATTACTGGGATTACCGTGCACAGTACGCCATGCTTGATACAGCTCCAGTTTCACGTTCCTACCTGCTACATATCATCGTTTACTTATTGTGTAGTGGCAACTGGTGTACGACAATCTTCACATTTATAGGTCTTTCTTTTTTTCTTGGTGGTACTGGGGATCGAACTCAGGACCTTTGCTTACCAGGCAGGTGCTTATGCCACCGAGCTACCTCTCCAGCCCTATAGGTCTCTGTGCACGAATTTTCCTAGACTCTGTGCGAGGCTGGCATGCGCAGTTTTCCTCGTTATTCCTCAAACGCTGGGCTAAGGACTTGTACAATTCAGACGACCAAACCAGCCGCGTTCCAGGTGCTTCCTCAGTACCTGATTTTCCCCTCTCCCTCTTTTTCATATTATTCATGACATTTCACTTATATGATTTAAAAAAAGTATTTTCTTTTGAAATTTTATTTTGCAGAGTAAAAACAAGAGCCAAGAGCAAAAATTAGAAACAAAGACAGAAACAGGGTAACATACAGTACATATGTCACATATATTTTTTTAATTTTTTATTTATTTATTTGTGTGTGTGTGTGTGTGGCCAGCTCAGCCCACCAGGGGGCAGGGCTGGCTGGCATGTGGTGCTGGGGGATTGAACCGCCGTCCCTTTGCTTTTGTTAAGCTTGTTCTAAGTAGGTGCTTTAGACCACTGAGCCATCTCACCAGCCCATGTCACATATTTTTAAAACGAGAATTAACTGATTAACAATGGCTGATATATTATCTATTTTTATCGTCAACGTATATGACTCTTGGGAGTTTTATTTCAATGAATCCTCCGTCAGGTATTAGCCATAGTTCACAAATGAAAAAGCAAAGAATCTCTTCGTTTGCTGACACAAGAATTTATTTTTTTCTTCTTACTTCTCAATCTCGCCGCATCTTTTTCTTCCTTCCAGAGCTGGAAAGGCTGCTTTTCCGAGCTTCCCCAGCCCGCCGCGCTTAGGCCCCCCGCCCCCGCCCGAGCAGCCCCAGACAGCACCCCCGGAGGTCGGCGTGGCTCCGCAACCCGGCAGAACGGCGGCGTTTGGACCACTGGCTGCCCCGTAGGCCCCGCCTCTCGCCGGTGTCTCCGAGTTCCGAGGGCGCCCTCCGTCGCGCGGGAGGAGGCGGGGCCAGCGAGTCCCCGCCGCTAGACGCGTCGGGATAGGCCGAGGCTCGCGGCGCCCGCGCTGCGCTCACCGGAAGTGCTGCCGTTTCTCCCTCTTCCGAGCCACTGTCTCCGAGGCTGGAGCGCTGCCCCGGAAGTCTACCCCCGTCCCCCGCCCGCGGCAAACATGGCGGTGGACTCGGCGATGGAGCTGCTATTTTTAGATACTTTTAAACATCCTAGCGCCGAGGTAAGGCTTGGCGACGCGGTTTCGACCCTGCTCCTGGATGCGGGTTTGCTTTCAAAAACCGTTAGATGCCCCAGACTCCTGCCGCGTGCCGCTCGGAGTCCTCACGCGCACCGCCCACGGCCAGCCTGGGTGTGAGTGCCGCGCCCGGGGAGGGCGGCGGCGGCCCCTGCGTCTGCAGCTTCGCCTGCGCCCCCTGCGCATGTGTCCCGCGGGCTGCTCGGCTGGCGGTGCTGGTTCTTACTCGTTTTCTGCAAGGTCTTGGTTCTCCCCAGGAGGCGCGGGGGCGACTTGGCAGCCCGTCTTTGACAGTAGTGCAGAGGTTGCAGCAGCAGCTCGTGCTGCCTTCGGGGTCCCCAAGTTGCGAGGTCTCTCCTGTGTTTTGTGACCCTTTCAGGTGGAGCATTGTAGTGTCCTCAGTTTGACGTGCAACTTGAACACTTCGGGGGAGGATTTCACACATCAGGGCGCGAGATGCTTACATTTCATTTTCACAGAGTCCAAAGCAGGGAGAGTTTCAAAGAGGATTGTGGTCGAAGCTGTCTGCACAAAGCAGAAAGGTTGTCTTTTTGAGCGGAGTGAGTGGCAGTTTGGACCTTTCTTTCTGGACCAGATTTCTTGAGCGCCTCTGAGCGTATGAATGGCTCTGCAATACTTAAGTTGAATGTAGGTAGTTGGAAGTCGGCCAGAAATGAACTTTTAAAGGAGACTACAGAGTAATTGCGGAAGAAAGAAAAGACTTTTTCTGTCTCGAGTAAATTTACCGATTTAGAGAATTATTATTATTTTTTTTATTTTGCAGTACCGAGAATTGAACTCAGGACCCTGCGCTTGCCAGGCAAAGAGAACTGTTATTTTTTCAGAGGTTATTTCGTTTTGCATTTGATGAAGAATAGGTTCCTTGCTGCTAGGGATTGAAATTAGGGAGTTTCTTGAAGGTTTGTTTTTTTTTTTTTTTTTTTTTGTATTTTATTTGTGTCCCTAGTTATTATTTTTGGCTGTTTGAGATGGGCTTGCAATGTAGTTGAGGCTGGCCTTGAACTCACTGTGTAGCCTCGCCTGCTAGAACTCATGGCGATACTCCTGCCTCAGTCTTCTGTGTGCGGGAAATACAGACATGCACCACCAGACCAGCTCTGTATCTTGTTTTGGAGGCAGGGCTGGCTGAATTGCTTAGAGTGGCCTCAAACTCCTGATCCTCCTTCCTCTGCCTCCCAAATAGTAGGGATCCCAGGCAGCTGGCAAGATTGTGTGTTTTGGTATTATCAAGCTCCTTGAGGATAGATAGTGTATTTTTTTTTTGTTCTCAGCTGTGTTGTCTTCAGTGTCTATGATAGCACCTAGGAAAATATAAGTGACCAATAAATATTTGAAAGGCTATATTTTCAGGGATCATTTCTATAGTATGTTACTAAAGAAGTTTTTCTGATTGTGTAGAGTACCAATAAATATTTGAAAATGTTTAAAATATTGTTTCATAGTGATGATATGGGTAGCAGTTGATAATGTTAATATTTTAATTTATCTAATGGCTTATAGGTCTGTAAAAGTCAAAAGTTGGAGAATTTTTAGGTTCACATATCTCGTGACAAGGCATTTGTAGCCTTGTGTTTCATGGAGGTCACTTAGCACTGTTCCATCACTCTTGCCTTTAATTCCAGCTAGGCTTTAGGAAATGTACAACAGCAGTGGTAGCTGTATCAGAATACACCTGTCGTGTTTAGGAAGTTTGACATTCATTCATCCATCATTTAATCTTTTTTTTTTTTTTTTTTTTTTTTGGCCTAGTAGCTTTTGCTAATGTTTCAAATACTATGTTGAACATTGAGTAGTAATAGTAGGTACTGTTGTCTTGTTCTGATTTTAGAGGAAAAGTTTCTGTTTCCCTTTGTTCACCAAAAAAAAAAAAAAAAACTTGTTAACTGGTTCCATCATTTAATCTTTTTTTTTTTTTGGGTTATACTAGGAATTTCAACCCAATGGTGCTCTATCACTCAGCTACATCCCCAGTCCTTTTAAAATTTTATTTTGAGACAGAGTTTTGTTAATTTTCCTAGGTTGCCTTGATTTTGTGCTCTCCTTCCCTCAACCTCCTGAGGTAACTGGGAGTACAGCCATGTACTACCTGTGCCCTCCTTCATTCAGTTTTAGATGAGCACTGAGACCTGTGCAGTGATCGGGAAGGAAACATGCACCTTCTCGTGGAGATGACTAGAGAGGGGCCAGTAGAAATCACATGGAACTGAGTCTTGAAGGAGGAGGGTTAATGGGAGATAGAAATTGAAATGGCCTCAACAGATTGATAATTAAGTATTATAAATTGGGTTAGGATTACAACATTTATGATGCAAATTAGAATGTGATAAAAAAAAATTAGAATGTGATGAGTGTACCAAGAGGCACAGTGGGAATTCCTTGGAGTTTAGCATTGTATTTCCAAAGTACTTATCAGTAGCTGACATTTTAGGAATGTCACAGTTGATACTTGTTTAGTTTCCTATGTGAGTATTATAAGTTGTGTGATTTCAGAGGAGAGAAATCCTTTTCTTTCTCTCGGTACTGAGGATTGAATGTAGGGCCTGTATACTGAGTTAAATCTCCAGCCCTTTTAATTATTTTTTGAGACATGGTCTTGCCAAATCTGTAAGTTGCCCAGGCTGGGCTTGAATTTGTGATCCTCTTGCTTCAAGCCTGTCAATAGCATTGGGATTACAGGTATGCACCATGCCTGGATGAGATCGCGTTTTGTTTGAGATTATTAGGGAAGACTCTATCAAGTTTAGCATGTGAGCTTGCTTTAGTGGAATGGGAACAGTTTCACAGTTGCAGTTAGGAAAGAAATGAATTCTTCTTGAGTAGTAAGTCTACTGGGGTGGGCCCAGCCAGCAATGTGAAGAGGCGTCTAGGCAGTTCAAAGCCAGCACGTGGGTTGAATGTCCAATAGAGTAAATTTTTTGTAGGAAGTAGGTAAATTTTGAGTAGGCAAATTATAAAATTACTATACTGCATTAAGTTAATTGGTCAGGAGTACTTAAAATAGTTCAGAGAAAATAGAAGTGACAAAATCAGGAAAAAAATGAGATGTAATAAAAGTTTATGTTGCCAAATGGGAATTAGTTTTTAACTAGCATTTACTGAATAAATTGTGTCAGATACAGTGCTTTGGTTACTTAAAAAATGATCTAACCTGTGGTGTAGTAGTGTACAAGTCTGTAATCCCAGCACTCAGGAGGCTGAGGCAGGAGGATCACTTGGCGTTTGAGACCAACCTACAAAGGAAGAAAGAGTTCAAGGCTGGATGTAACTGCGTAGTGAAAGCCTGTCTCAAAAAAGACCAAACCAGGGGGCTTGAGAGATAGCTCAGTAGAGTAAGTGCTTCCCTGGCAAGCACAAGGGCCTGAGTTCAATCCCTGGTTCACCCAAAATAAAACAAAAAAATCCACCCCAGCCAAACCAAGAAACCCCTCTGTTTCTTCCATTACTTTTGCAAGGTGATTATCATTTTATAGTTAAAGAAACTGAGCATGAGAGGTTAGGCAACTTGTCTGATGTGGCATCAATAGATTAAGGTATATTAACACCCAATTTCCTAACTCTAAAGCTGTCATATTGTGTCCCAGTGGGATTAAATATGAAGGGGTATGCACAAGATACATTTCAGATACAGAATGATGAGATGACAAGTGACTGTGTGTCTAGTTAGATAGAATTCTAGTTCAGGGACTGGAGAACTGATGGGACCATTGATAGGAATGGAAAAGTCTCCAAGTGCTTTTGGTAGGAATAAGATAATTTTAGTTTTTAGTACTAAGGATGGAACCCAAGTCCTTATCCATTCTAGTTTGGCGTTCTACCACTGACCTTTCCCCCAATCTTCTTCTTTTTTTTTTTCTTTTTGCGAAACTGGGGATTGAACTCAGGCCCTTGTGCTTGCCAGGCAAGTGCTTATTCTACTGAGCCATCTCCCCGGCCCCCCAATCTTCTTTTTTTAAAAGTTCATTTGATATAATGTCTTCGCTATGCAGTTCAGACTCATAGTGATCCTCCTGTCAGCCTCCCAACTTCCCTAGTGCTGTGATCACAGGTGTGAGCCACCATGCCTGGTTTCGGGGTGACACAGCATGTGGTATCAAACTGGGGTCCTTGTGCTTGCCAGGCAAGTGTTGAGCTGTTTCCCCAGCCTTCTTCTTCTTCTT